ATTGCTGCTACCAAAAGTCAAACCTGATTATTTAGACCCTGGGCTGCAGTGTGGTCTGGATAAGCAATAGCATCATGTAATTGACTATGCCCACTTTGCCTTAATTGTAGGATGTGGTCATATGCCAGTAAATGTGAAATTTTATTAGCATTAATTGCGTTCATATACTAATATTGTGATATTTATAATATATGCTATTATAACAATGCTGTTTGTAGTGCTGTATATTATAATAAGTAACATTCAGCATTGATTCAACAAATACTGGGGTTCTGTTGATGGATAATGTCAGAAATGAGCAAAAACAGCCTCTGTGTTTCAGACAGTGGGCTGGCATTGTGAGGGCCTGTATTGGGAGGAATTTGTTGCATTTGTGGTACTGATAGTTGCTAGATGGACTGAATACAGAGGAGAGGGTAGTATGGCCATAGGCTAAGCCAAGGAGGGCCTTGTAGGCTATGTTAAGGCTTTTTGCCTTTAAGAGCAATAAGAAAGTAAAGGATTTTTAAACTGAGGAGAGAGCATTAGTACTTAAAAAAAAATTGAGCACAGTGAAAATGGATCTGAAGGGGATGTAGTGGATGTAGTAGGAGGCTATTACAGTAGCCCAGGCCAGAGATGATGGCTTCCAGCGGAATATTGACAGTGGAAATGGAAAAGTGGAAGGATTCAAGAGTTTAGAGGTGAAGTTGACAGAAGTTGCTTGTGGTTGGTGTTGGAACGTGAGAGTGAAGGCGGTTGGAACTATTGTGATGTTTCTGCCTTAAGCAGCATTATGGATTATGGGCCTACTCACTCACATTGGGATTGCTGGAAGAGGAATAAATTTGTAGGAAGTAGAACTGCACTTCACTCTCAGACACTGAATCGAAGTACCTTTGAAGGCCAGGCGTGGTGACTCACAGCTGTAATCCCAGCACTTTGGGAGGCCAAGGTGGGAGGATCACCAGAGTTCAGGAGTTCGAGACCAGCCTGGCCAACATGGCGAAACCCCGTCTCTACTACAACTACAAAAATTAGCTGGGCATGGTGAGGGGGCTGCCTCTAATCTCAGTTACTCAGGAGGCTGAGGCAGGAGAACTGCTTGAACCTGAGAGGCGGAGGATGCAGTGAGCCAAAATTGCGCCATTGTACTCCAGCCTGGGCAACAAGAGCAAAACTCTGTCTCAAAAAAAAACAAAAAACAAAAAAAAAACCCAGTGCCTTTGAGGCATCCAAAGTGCAATGTTGTGTAGGTAGTGAGTTATATGGGTCTGGAGCTCAAGGGAGAGTTTGGACGGGAGACATGTTTGGGATAGTTAGCCTCCATGATTTGAAGTTGTGGGTAAGATTGCTTACAGAAGTGTTTCTCAACCTGGACTGCACTTTGGAATCACTGAACTTTGACAAATACCACCCACCCCAGAGATTCTGATTCAATTAATCTAGAGTAAAGCTTGGGCACTGGGCTTCTAGGAGCTCCCCAGATGGTGTGCAGTCAAGGTTGAGACCCACTGGCCTAGAGAGAACCTAGGCTGAGACTAGGAGAGGAATCAGGATTGAGCCTTGAACACACATGACCAGTTGGAGAAGGATGAGCCTGCCCAGGAGAGTATTAAAAGGTGACCAGAGAGATGGAACGAAGACTAAGTGTCAGAAGTAAGTAAAAGAATGGTCAGCAGTGTCTGTTGGCTACTGAGAAGCCAGTTACAGTGGAACTTAGATTTGGCAACATGGATGTCATTCAGTAACCATAGGGAAAGCTGTCAGTGCTTGGAACAGATGCCAATTAGATGGCGTTGAGAAATGCGAGGAAATGGAGACAGCAAGCATAGGCAGCTTTTAAAGGTATTTGGGGAGAGAGACCCAGTGTGAGTCTCTTTAAATGGTAAAGAAAACTTACCTTATTCAAGAGTTCCAGAAGAAGGTGGTGTGCTAGGTTGTATATTCAGTGGCTCAACAATGTCATCAGAGACTTAGATTTTTCCAGCCTCAGTGTGTGACTTGGTCCTCAGGCTGTCCCCTCAGAATGAAGGATGGCTGCTGTAATTCAGACGTCTTCAGCAGAAGGAGGACAACTTTGTCTTATGTCCTTTTAAAAAAAATCTTAATACACATGCTGAAAAGTATACAAGTGTTAAGTGTAGATCGAATTTTCGGAAGTCAAACAACTGTAACCAGCGCGCAGATCACAACCCCGGTACCCCAGAAGTTCCTCTTGTTCCTCCTCCTAGTCATGACCCACCTCCTCCCCCAGGATAACTACTAGCCTGGCTTCCGGTGGTTAATTTTGCCTATTTTAGTGCAATGTGATGAAATAATATACGATGTGTTCTTTTCTGTTTGGTTTTCAGCATTGTTTTTGAGATCCATATTGTTGCATGTAGTTGTAAAGTGTTCATTAATTGCATGAATATACCACATTTTATCCATTCTATTGTTGATGGGCATTTGGGTAGCTTCTTGTATTTGGCTTTTGCAGATAGTATTGTTGTGAACATACGTATTCATTTTGTATGTGTATAATCAAGGAGTGGAATTGCTGGGACAGAGGGTATGCTTATATGCATTTAGCTTTCCTGTGTGATTGTATCATTTTGTACTCTTAGAGCAGCATATGAGTTTCAGTTCTGTGCCCTCACCAACACTTACTATTTTTCATCTTTTATTTTAGACATTCTGGTGGGTGATGGTGGCATACCACTGTGATTATAATTTCCATTTTCATAAATTGATTAAGGATATTTCAGATCTTCATAAGGTTATTGACCATTTGGATATTCTCTTTTGTGAAGTGCCTGTTTAAGTCTTTTGCTATTTTTTTCTCTTGAGTAGAATGTCTTATTCATTTTTAGGAGTTTTTCTTTTGTATTCTGAATACGAGTCATTGGTCAGATATATGTATTGCAAATATCTTCTCACACTCAGTGGCTTGCCTTTTCACTGTCGATGTTTTCACAAACAAGTTACTAATTTTAATGTAGTACAGTTTATCGGTTTTTCTCTATGATAAGCTCTTTTTGTGTTCTGTTTATCGTCTTTACCCATTCAAAGGTCACCAGATTCTCTGTGTTTCGTCTAAAGGTTTGATTGTTCAACTTTAATGTACAGATCTGCAGTCCATCTGGACCTGGTGTTTGCATTTAGTGTGAGATAGTGTTCAAGATTCATATGGGCCAGAAGCAGTGGCTCACGCTTGTAATCCCAGCACTTTGGGAGGACAAGGCAGGAACTTTGACAAATACCACCCACTTGACAAATACCATTGCTTGAGCCCAGGAGTTTGAGACCATCCTGGGCAACATAATGGGACCCTGTCTCTCCAAAAAATTCAGAAATTAGCCAGAAATTAGCTAGGCATGATGGCACATGCCTATAGTACCAGCTATTCAGGAGGCTGAGGTGGGAGGAGTGCTTGAGCCTGTGATGTCAAGGCTGTGGTGAGAGGGACTGGCACTGCACTCCAGCCTGGGTGACAGAGCGAGACCTTGTTTCAAAAAAAAAAGAAAGAAAAAAGAAGAAAAGATACGGATGTCCAATTGACCCAGTACCATTTATTAAAAGAGTATATTTTCTCCATGTACTGCAGTATTACCTTTGTCATGAATCAGGTGATTATGTGTAAGAATCCATTTCTAGTTTCTTTAGTCTATTTTGTTGGTCAGGTTATCCTCATCTAGTTGGGTTTTTTTTTTTAATGTAACCTTTTAGTAGGTATTGATATCTGGTAGTATAAGTTATCTAGTTCTTCCTTGAAATCTCTTTAATAGTGATGAATTAGCATAAATATGAATGTGAAATGATGAACCAGCAAATCTTAATCTATGTTGAAAAAAGTAGGTGAATAAGTCAGTGAGTTGGGTACCCTGAGGAGATAGGAACAGTTGAACAAGTTAAATGGGACAACCTAGGTTATAGTGGGAGTTGGATACCTGAATTAGTGATTGAACAGTTTGAAGTTTGAACGGTTTTGAGTGATGCTAAGTTCCAGGGGTGCAGTGATGGATGGCTGAGTTGGGCTAGAGGTGGAAGTCATTGAAGATAAGGAAGCCAGGAAACTGATAGACTGTAGTATGGATCTGTTAGCACTTGATAGGTTATGAAAGTAATTTAATAATGTAATATCTAATTTAATATCTACCTCAGAACAGTTAGAACAGAATTATTCACATTTTACAGATGAGAAAAATGGGCCCAGAGATGTTAATAACTCCCTAATAGCCCCAAGAAAATTAGTGATTAAATTAGACTTAACCCGGGTCTTATGGTCTAGCTTCCATGCTCTGTTCAGTGTAGCTTAACTGATGTTGTGTGAAAGACCTGGTAGTGATACATCTGGAAAGTCTTACTGACATGCAGAAATAGTACAGAAAAACGTACAAATAAGAACGTTATAGGCTGGGCATGGTGGCTCACGCTGTAATGCCAACACTTTTGGAGGCCAAGGCAGGTGGAGGCCGAGGCAGGTGGATCACAAGGTCAGGAGATCAAGACCATCGTGGCTAACACGGTGAAACGCTGTCCCTACTCAAAATTCAAAAAATTAGCCAGGTGTGGTGGCATGCACCTGTAATCCCAGCTACTCTGGAGGCTGAGACAGGAGAATCACTTGAACCCGGGAGGCAGAGGTTGCAGTGAGCCGAGATCACGCCGCTGCACTCCAGCCTGGGCAACGGAGCAAGACTCCATCTCAAAAAAAAAAAGAAGAGGAAAAAAAAAAAAAGAATGCTATGCATAGATACGATGTTGATGTGTGCAAGAAATACTTCAGAAATATTAAAAGTAGTTATTCCTGGGTAGTTGTGATTGTGACTCTGGGTGACTTTTTCCCTTTGTTTTATTTTTCTGTATTTTCCAAATTTCCTATAATGGACGTATATTATATGGATTTTTAAAAATTAAAATTATCTTTTGACTAGATAATATACATGGAAAATTCACAAAGTATACATATGCAAGATATAATACTTTTACTAAAAAAGAGTGAAAAATTTTAAATACTTAATTGTTTTTCTTTTTAGAAATGCACTCGGTGATGGAAAGAGAGCCACTATTCTGAAGAACACTTGGCCAAAGGTAGGTTTCTTCTGTATTTTACTTTGAGCAAATAATGCCATACAACATTGTGAAAAATCTGTTTACCGGGTGTGTTTGTTCATAAAAATGCTATATGAAATGACACAGAGCTCCAGAATGTGAAAGGGCAGTCATGAGATCCATGATCAGCATGGGGACCCAGCCACAGCAGTGACAGGCTGTGTGTGAGGACAGGCGGCCTGTGGGCATCTTGAGCCTTCGGGGTGCCTTAGTGATTGAGAGGTCGTCTATGCATATTCTGGGTGGGTGTGCCTGAGTGTGAAAAACCACTTAAAACTGGGAAGGAACTGTAGGAGGCTGTCTTTATAGGAGGCAGGAAAAGGTTTCTTAACACACAGTGCACAAATCAGCAGTGAAAAAAACCATCTTGATATATTTGGCTATATCAAACTTAAAAACTTGTGTATGTCAGAAGATACCATAGATGAAATAGTAGTTTGAGAGGAGATAATTTGCCACATATATAACTGGTAGGATTTATAGCCGGAATATGCACATAATTCCTAAAGTAAATAAGAAACCCAGTAGAAAATGGGCCAGTAAAACAAGTAAGCATTTCACGGAAGAGTAATCCTGAATGGCCAATAGAAATAAGAAACTATTTCTATTTCCTAGTAATTAAAATTGTAGGGATTTGGTACACAGAAAAATGAAACCAATAGTACAGAATAGAGGGCCTCCACACAGAACTCACTATGTGAGTAAATTTTACAGTGTCATATTGTTTGAGTCCTTCAGATTGGCAGAAATTAAAGAGGCTGATTGTCCTGAGTGTTGGTGGGTATGTGTAGTAACAGGAAGCCCCAGTAAACTGGTGGGAGCGTGATTGCTTACAACAACTGAGGGAGCATTATGATAGACAGACTCCACAGTTACTTGGTTCTGAGTGTGTGTACCCTAGAAAATTTCTAGCAAATATGCACATGGTAAGATATACAAGGTTGGTCATTGCAGCATTGTTTTAATGGCATACTACTGCAAATACCTACATGTCTGTTGATAAAGCAGCAAATAAATGTGGTATTTTCACTTGAGCAAAGTTGTTACTCTGACCTGTGTGATCTGTCCCCGTCTTGAACACTTGTTATTTCTCCAACCTCACTCCTCCTGTTCTGTCCCTGGTTCACTTTATGTTGGCCCGTGGCATCCTCACTGTTCCTTAGACATGCCAGGCCCACTTCCACTTTGTACTTGCCCTTCCCTCTGCCTGGAATGCTTTTCCCCAGAGCATTGGCCAGCCCTCTTTTTTCCTTTCAGTTGGTATTGAAAGGACTCTTCTCAGTGAAACATTCCCTGGCCACATTACTAAAATGCCAAACACCTCACTTCCTATGCATTTCTTATCTTCTTTCCCTGCTTTACTTTTTTCCTCTTTGGACTTACCATTATTGAATACATGATATCTACTGTTAGAGTTATATTGGCTATTGTGTATGTCTTCCAGTATAATATGAGCTCCACAAGGAAAGATTTTTTTGGTGTTTGGTTCACTTCACTCTTGAATCCAGACTGTCTAACTAGCTGCCTGACACTTAGCAGGCACTCATTAGTAAATAATTGTTGACTTAGTGATTGAATGAATCAAATAGTAGATTGCAGTTGAATTAACTGGCTTATCAACATTTATGGATTTTTAAAAGTGTTAAATGAAAAAGTAAAACATAGGCTGGAAAAATATCTATCAAGTTCATGATAGTGTTTGCTTCCGGGCAGTAAGAGAGGGAAAAGAGATTGGAGAGGGTGCAAAGGAGATTTCAGCCGTATCTGTATCATCAGAAATAGTTTTATTTCTTTCATTAAAAAATCAGAAGCAAATATAACAAAATGTTAACAGTTAATTCTGGGTATCTGTGTATTAGTCTCTGTATTTTCCTAAACTGTAAAAATCTCCATTTTTTTTTTTTAAGTGAAGCTTTAGATGCCAGGCGTGATGACTCACACCTGTAATCCTAGCACTTTAGGAGGCCGAGGTGGGCAGATCACTTGAGGTCAGGAGTTTGAGACCAGCCTGGCCAACATGTGAAACCCCGTCTCTACAAAAAAATACAAAAAAATTAGCTGGATGTGGTGATGCATGCCTGTAGTTCTAGCTACTCAGGAGGCTGAGGCAGGAGAATCATTTGACCCCAGGAGGTTCAGAGGTATTGGAAAACCACAGCACAGGCCGATGGTTACATCCAGCTCTAAAAACTTCTCCATTTCCAGGTGTAGGAAAGACGATGACTTGGAGACTGTTACTGCCTTCAAATATTTTAAAAACATGAAGTTATTTATAATGAATGACATTTTTTACTTTATCTGGCACAAAATTATTATATTCTCTGTTAGCAAAATATAACAAAAGTTGAACTCTTTCCTGGGGGTACAGAAATTTCTTAAGCAAAAATATTGATCCTTAGTTATTGTAATTATTTGTCTATTTATAACTTTTCACTTAGCTCATTAGGTAATTTTATTTCCTGAGGTACTAACATTTTAAATTTATTTTTCATTGGTAGGGACCTAATCTAATATTTTAAGTAATGAATCAGTTTTCAAGCAAAATAGTGTTCCTTGCCTGTTTTCTTTAACTTAAGCATATTTTTGAGAAAAAATTAAATTTATCTTTTTGGAACAGGGTCATTATCGTTATTGTGATGCTCTTTCTATGCTGGGGGAATATGACTGGGCCCTGCAAGCAAACATAAAAGCTCAAAAACTCTGTAAAAATGACCCTGAGGGAATCAAGGATCTAATTCAGCAGCATGTAAAGTTACAAAAACAAATAGAAGACCTACAAGGTATTTCACCTAAGATTCTTTTGCTTACAGTCTAATTCTCTTTCAGACTTTGGAAGTTGGGTTTCTTGTATTAACAGAGGACCACAAATCAATCCTCAGATGATTTATCCTTATTTTATCATGTTATCTTGGTCATGGCACTTGAGTTTTTCATTTCTATCTGTGTAGAGTTACATGTTATCCATTAGGTAATTATAAATGATTTGTACTTTTTATTTGAAACAGACAGCAACTAAATTGTTATTATTTGTTCTTCTGTAGAAAAAAAATCCCTTTCAGAAATTTTGAATAAAATAAAAACTTTTTGAAACAAAATTATTTAAAAATACTTCCTTCATTACTAAAGTTATTTCCTAAAGAAAAGACCCTTCAGTAGAGCTGCTTGATGCTTCTGCACTGTTTGTGCTAATTCTATAGTGTGCTGAACATATGTATATGTAATGGTTTTTGTATATATAGCAGAAATTGGCTGTGCAGGCTAGGAGTTGTAGATTTTCATTCTGCCCTTGTTTTCTTTACTAAGTCTTTTTGCTTTCTCCAATGCCTGAAATCCCTTAATCTACACTTTGAGTGTATGAGTCTTTCCTGCTTTTTCTTCTTCGGGTCGTACAATGCTGAGCTGAACAGCTCTGTTTGACTGGCAGATGTTGTTATCCATCATAACATGATTATATAATAAGATTGTGAGTTCCTTGAAGACAGGTACCGCCTCTGATTCAGATTTACATGTTGCTGTCAACTTGTCAGTGATCACATGTGATGGAATGTCAGACAAAGTTTATGTAACATTTTGTTGACACCATCCTAAAACTAAAGACATCTAGAAATGTAAAATTGCTTAGGTTTACTTTTCAGTTTTCTAAATTTGATGTTCCTTATTATCAGCTTAAAGTAAATTTGAAAATCTTTTAAAGTCTATGTTGCCAATCCATTGATTACTATGTGTATGTGTGTGTGATTGACTTTTATAGGTCGAACAGCAAATAAGGATCCAATTAAAGCCTTTTATGAAAACAGGTAAGTTAATAGCAGGTCAGTAGCTGCTGCTAGGAGTGGCTTTGCTCCATGAATTTAAGAATCACTTATGTTTGACGCTTTAGGAGCTAATAGCAACCACAGTAAAGTTGGAGATGGAAGGAAGACAGGTAGTTTTTTAAGTGCCTGTGTTATCAGGTGACCTGTAAGTTGTCAGATTTATTTTGCTGTTTTACTGAACCATATAGATATAAGCTCAGTAGCCTAATCCTGTGGGAAAAGAGAGGTGAAATGTTAATTGGATGTTACTATGCTTGAATGGGACCAGTTTGGCCATGAAGCTCCTGGCAGCAGAGAGCTGGGACATATCCTGTGCCCTCTGCCCTCCACCTCTATCATGGAAACATCTATGGCAAAAACCACAAGTACTCTTGGACCAACCTAATACTTCCAGCTTCCTGATGTCTTTCAAAGGCTAAGATACTTCCTATTAGAAATAGGCAACAGACAGACTTGAGTATGCCCACAAGAAAACAATAGCAACCAGGGTTGTACCTTTGCTTACTTGGCAATTAAAACAGATTAAATGTTTTTCTGCATGCTTGTTCAGATGTCTGGGATATTGAAGCTCCTCATTCTGTAGCATGCTGACATGTAGACATAAAGAAATTGGCTGTGGAGTCTTTAAATTTAATTTTAGTATCCTAATTTAACTTAAATTAGGGTGTTTAAATTTAACACAAGGACATAGGTTTTTTTGTTTGTTTGTTTTTTAAATTTTTTTGAGACGGAGTATCACTCTGTCACCCAGGCTGGAGTGCAGTGATGTGATCGTGGCTCACTG